ACAAATTTTTGTGCACTGGGCCTCTAGTAAATAAATAAATAAATAAATAAATAAATAAATAAATAGTAGTCATCTCAATCACATTTTCTTATTTAATTTTCTTCATTGTACTTATTATTGTCTGAAATTGTCTCACTTTGTGGAACTTTGTCTGCCACACTCCTAGAATCTAATTTCCATGATAGTAGAGAAATCATCTGTATTATTCACAAGAAAGTCCCTGCCCCTGAAACTTAGTAGGTCCTATATACTCAAGTAATCTTTAGCAGATAATCATTACAGCACAGTATCATATGCCAGTCACTAAACACTACCACAAAATGTTCCTCCATGCTTGTTAACATTAAAAAGAATAATACGTGATACATGTTTTCATAAAAAAGTTATGTGAATTTATTCCTGCCTAATGAATCAGTCCTAATGGAAACAAAAACATATTTCAGGGGACAATCAATATTCCTCCACAAAAAAAGGTGCTGGTACACTGACATCATAATGAAAAGAGTAGTAATTGTACATAGCAACCAAGGACAGTGAAACCTCATTTACACTAACCTTTTAGCCTTCAAATGGATCATACCAATTAACACAGAAGTCTAAATTTAAAATTAAACAGTTTTGTATCCATAATATAAGTAAATGCAATGAACAGTGGAGTCTAAAACTTTTTTATCTGAAATTGATCTTTGAATGCCAATCTCTAAAATTTCTATTCCCCTTCTTTACTTATGCCATGAATTCTTTTCTTTGTTTGGAACTGTGTGGTCTCTCATATTTTACTATAGTTCCACCTCAAAATAAATAGTCTGAATTTTAACATTTAAAGATTTTTTTTCTGATCAGGAAGTGGGGGTTAGCAGAACTTCTCTGCTTTGTCTTTCCTCTACAGAAAAGCTCCTCTGTGGTCTTGATATTTCAATTTAAATGCCTTCTGAACCCAGTAGATAAGAAACTTTTTAGTGCCTGTTTCTAACTGTTCGTGAGTGAGGACTGTCACAGAAACTAAATAGCAATGGAAACCAAATAGGTGTTAATAGGATTTTTGTTGATTTTTAGATTTTCTTTTAAATTTTACTTCCCCACAACTATTTTATGGAGTTCAATTACAGTCAGTAACAGATATGATCCATGGAGGAGAACTACAAGTGTCATTTAACTTCATAACAATCCTTTTGGACTTTACATTTACTTGAAAGTAGAATGTGGTAAAAAAAATATTTACTAAATTTTACTTTCATCACAGTCCCTCCACCCCAACACATTAGAGAGAGAGAGAGAGAGAGAGAGAGAGAGAGAGAATATGTAGGTTTGCAGGACTGCCCAGAAACCTAAAATCCTTCTATTGTTTTTCTTTCCTGTAAAAAAAATTGTTTGGTGATATAATACTTGCAATATAAGTCATTACAGGTCTGATGTTACAGTTCTTACACAGTATTGAATCTATTGAATGAAAAGGGAGCACAAAGGGGATTTCCAAATGCAGCTGCTATTTCCCATTTGTTAAATCCTTTTACTATACCATAGACGTACACAGCTGGGAAATACTATAGAGTGGGAATTAAAACAAAATGTTTTGGCTTCTAGAAATTCAGAATACACAAAAGGTCCAGTGGAAAGCAATGCTTGATATCAAAAGAGAAAGTTTGAAAACAAGGATGATTTCTTTTGGACTAACATATAACATATATTTGTAAATTTAAACTATTTTATACTACCATAAATTCCACTTAGTATAATTTGCTAAGCACATTATTAATATCTATTTTCTAACAATATTTTACATCATAAAACTTTGAGAATAACTCGCTAAAGCAATTTGGCACTTGCCAAGATACACACAAAATTTAACTGAGAAAAATAAGCAAAGTGTTCTCTGAAAAAATAAATTTTGAACTGTATTATTTCTGATTCAACCTACATATTCCAATGTAAATATTTATCTGTCCATAGCTATATTTGGCAAAAAAGCAAATATCTATCTCTATCCCATTGGCCTAATCCAAGCCTGGATTTCTTAAATAGCCTCTCAACAGGTCTCCCTCCCATCCATTCATACTACAGCTAGAATTATCTGCTTGAAATATTCTTAAACTCTTCAATGCCTTTCCATTGCACTTAGAATCAAATCTCACTTCCAATGTTATCTACCAGGTATTGTTGGATATAGCCCCTACCAATCTCTTCAACTAGATCTGATGCTACATTACATCCTTACTTATTACACTCCAGCCACGAAGACTACCTTGAATTTCCTGAAACTCAGCTATATTTTTCTCACCTCAAATATTTCATACATGTTATTCCCTCTGCTATTTTTACTCGTTCTTTTATTCTTTGCCTGACTAGTTCCTCCTATCCTTAGGTCAGCTAGGATATTCCTATCTATCCATTCTAAATGAAGTTTATTTCATTATGTTCTCACATAGCATTCTGTTATTTTTCTTCCTAACACATATCACAATTTTTTAAATTTATTGTTGACAGTATTACAAATGTCCTCCATTTTATTCCCATTTACCCCCTTTACCCAGCCATTGAGCCACCCCAGGCCTTCCCTACACCATTGTCTATGTCCATGGGGTATGCATACGTGCATATAACACATATCACAATCTTAATTATATATTTATTTTTGTTCCCTCTCCTGGATATAAATTCCATGAAGGCATATTCATGTATGTTTTGCTCACCAGCACCAAGTAGAATGCTGTGCTCAGAGAAGGTGTTATATAAATATTTGTTGAAACAAAAATAAAACATAGCCCTAATATCTTGCCAAAAGCTAGTGGCAGTGACTGAATATCTATTTCACCCATGCTATCTTGGAGGTATAAAATGAAGCACTCAAGATCAAGCAGAAAAACGGACTTTTAGTCTTGCTTTATCATACCTTCTCTGTTCTCCCTATTCAAGGAAAAGAAATCTTCCAGTGATTCTATCTAATTATAAAATTATGATACCCTTACCTAAAGTTAGTCTAGAAAAGTCTTGTTTTTCTTCCAATCCCCTACATCTCACCTGCTGCTCCAGAGCACTAGTTATGTCTACAAAATCATCTAAAAAAGAAGTGTATGCATCCACAAATTATAAAATCAGATCTTTAAATTGGTTCTGAGACATTAAGCATAGGGCAAGAATTTAAATATATGTTATTAGTAGTAAAGGCAAAAATAAGATAAAAATATTATCTTGTTTTTTAATTAAGGAATAAAACTTTTCCTAACTGCCCACCTAAAATACTTTGCATTAACTTAACCAAAAGTTAAGATATATAAAACAAATTTTAAAATTCCTAATCAAATAAAATATGTTAAGATTTTGGTCAATTTTAGATGCTAAAAAAATAAGTATATTTGCTGTAAATTAGACAACTAATGTTACTTGCTATGGATCTGTTTTGATGGTTAATGATGGAATTTAACATGAGAAAGCTGGCTAACACATTACATGTATTTGATGTTGTTGTTTCTACCTTTACAGAAAACTTCTATATTCTGATGCAATGATATTCAGAAGCTTTGTATGTCCTTTTGAAATTAATCTATAGGCATTTAAGTGAGAAAAATCTTAATTATAAATCAAAAATTACTGTAAAAAATGATAAATACCTGCACTTCCTCACTGAAGATGTATTTTTTCCATATGATCTCATTCCCCTAGACATGTTTGCTTAATATAATTTTTTAATATTAATACACAGCCACACTTCATTTGATCATACCTATTTTGTGGTATTATCAACTTCATCACCTTAAATTCAGAGGTTCAGAGAATATGACAAACAAATCTTCCCCCAAATTAAATATTTTTTGGCAAGGTGACCTAATAATGGATAAAAACTAAATCAGAAACCATTTTCCAATTTTCCCTAGTTAGAGTAATATTAATAATATATATGATTGTTGGTTTATGATCTGAACACAATGAACTGTAATGATATGTATTTTGAGCTTTCTCTAAAACACCTGTTTGTAATGAGGCCATACTAATGGACACACTTAGCAACAGTGGCCAGATTTTAAAAGCTCACCATTCTTTGCTGAGACGACAGAATGCTGTCCCAGTCAGCATCTTGTTGAATGGTATTGACAAGTGTTGGTAGCTCCTCAGAGTGAGGTTTGTTGTGCATTATAGGGTGCAGAGGCAGATGGGAGGCCACATGTTGATCACTGCCCTCTTCCTTTTCCCTTGAGGTCAAATCTTGGGTCATCGCTTCCTCTCCATCAGCTGAACAGGCAAATGGAGAGGTGGCTTGCTTGGAAGACATTCTTCTGCAGAAAAAGGAAACAGCATGAATTAAAAAGGACTGTTCATGAAAAAAAAATCCCTTACATTTGACTATTTCAGAAAAAAGAAAAATTCTCTAACTTCAGAGATGTTTACCATCTACTCTAAACCACTAAAAAAGAACTCTCAGCTTATCTGTTCCACTTCTCCTCTTTGATTTTAACTCGCAAAACTCTTCCCGATGATTGCTGCATATTTTCTCTCTTACCAATCCATAAATAAAGTGTTTATGGAATAAGTTTTCATAATATGTATAGTATATGTATGTGTGTAAATTCCCCCCAGTTATCCCAACTAGATTATAAGCTTCTTGAGAGTAATTTTGTTGATTTGCCTAGCAATGGAAAAAAAAAAAAAGAAGAAAGAATGAATGAACTAGCAAATGAGCCAGTTTGGAAAATGATTTGAAAGTACATATATCCAAATTTTGCTTATGCTTTACATCAGAACAAAAGAAGAAAATAAAACCAAAAAGGCAGGTTATCTATGATGAAAGTCTAGGCAAATTTGGTCCTGACTTCTGAGTTTACACCTTGTATTGAGTGCTAGGCCTAACACTGTTTAGTGTCAATGTGATCCTTTTCTAAAGACCTTCAAGCTGTGTCAACTGCTGTAATTTAGCCTTTAAGTGACATATTGATTGAATGGCTGATATTATTAGATTAGTCTTAAGGCAATTTTATGACATTTGAATTGAGCATATGAAATAACTATGCTACTATTTTTTATTAGAAAGTATATACGAGATTCAAAGCATTAGTATGAAAATAGTAAAATGCCTACAATGCATAATATTTTTAATACTCCACAAACAATTACTGAATATTCATCTATGTACCTATAAGTAAACTATATTCAGCATAAGGTCTCCATTCTGTGCTTCCATATACAACCAGAAAATCATTATTACTAAACAGAATTCAAAACTCTTATAATATCACTTTATCAAGACAATTTTCTTAGCAAATGTTTAGAAATAAAACCGCCAAAAGTTTTTAAAATAAAATAAAAGGCAATTGGGCATCTTTTCTAAAACTTTATGTCATTTTTGGTTTATAGCATAATTAGCTCTAAAATTGCTGTGTAACGAAAGGAATAAAATCTCCACCTTAATTGCTTTTTAACATTAATTGATTTCATACCATTTTTTTTAAAATGCACAAATCAGTTAACATAGGAAACCACATGAGCATTTTTCAAATTAGCAAATCATTAACTTGCTAGTACTGTTTCTAGACAAATAAATACTGATTAAAGGGTCCAGAAATCTGAGATTAACAGTTAAATTTACAAATCTGTCACATGCTTTCATGAATATTGCAGTGAAGGAAATATCAAGTGCAAAGAAAAATAATTAAGTTAATTCCAATTTAAACAGTAGTTTTTATGTAGCAGCCCATGTTTCACATAGGATTTAACAGCTAATGCTAAATTTCTCACAATTAATGAGGGGGCTCAGATTTAGTATCCTACAGTGAAAAAATTAAGATAAGATTAGCTAATCTAATTATGCACAGTTCTAAATAAAAGTATTATAGGCTTTTGAAGTGCTTTGAAACCTATTAAAATGCTGATACCTACTTATAATAACCATTCTACAAATATAAAAATTTCATCTATTAGACTTGATTCTAGAAAATACAATGGTGAAAGGAAGTACAGAAGAATGTCTATATTTTCTTTGAGAAGAATAAAATGCTATAAAGAGCACTATATCAAAGAATCAGGTAAGTATATTCTTGACCAATTTCTAAAAATAATAACAAATGGACTTATGTATACACACTTAGGAAAAATGATACCAAAGGATGTTTCTTAGTCTACATGAATCACTCTAGAGCTTACTTCATTGGCCTCATAAATACTATCATAAAACCAGGCAAATTATAACTGTCCTGCAAGTTTATCAAGAGCCTGCCATAAACAACAAGAATGTTTTCATAGTTCAGATAATGACAGTACCAATAATGTAATCATTCACATTAAAAACAAAAGAATGAATTTACTGCTGATTTTTAAAACAGCTCAATACAATTGAAAGTCATAATCCAAAACTCAGAGGGACTTTAGCTTCCCAAAAAACATCCTCTTATTAGAAAGTGACTTGGCTGCTTCCAATAGCATTATCTGTGATTGTTGCTTTAGTATAAATTAATCATGACACAGAACACAAAAGTCTCTTAAGAATAATTTCAACTGCAAAACTGCACCAATGAACAATAGTGCACAATCCTAATTAAACACAACCATGCAGCTGTAAAAATAGACTAAATCTGTCCAAAGCCATGAGTTGAGTTTCAAGGCTGGTTTGTTAGAGTGTTTTCTTAAGGAAGGCTGGGCCCTCAGTCTTAATCAGCCAATAAATTATTTCCTGCAATTACATTAAATAGAAAATTATCTTCAAATGGGGCGTGTTAATTGAAAATCAAAATTCAGAGGGAAGTTTAGAAATTACACGCTGAATACAATTAGTGAGGAAGGGCTTCACCTCTACTTCATCAACAGCCTTGTGGCGATTCCTCCAGTGACCATTCAGGAAAGTTACCTATTTATAACATCACACGATTTGTCTTTTATTTTGCACCTACAAATATGAATGTGCATCAAGATTGCAAATAAAAGATATGCTGCCAAAAAAAATGCCAATATTAAATCTGACTGTTCAGCCTCAGTTCACACCATCATTAGGGGACAAGGAGAGAGGAAGATAAGATAATAATGGTTAATAACCAAGGAAGGCATACGCAACTTGCAATCCTGGCCTTTAGCAAAGGAATTAAGTTTTTTTTATTATTCCAAGAAGAATACTTTTCCATACTATATTTTACTTAAATTTTCTTGTATTTACTATAGTTCTCAAATATGTTGTTAGCAGAGAAAAGGGTGATTTTGTCCTTTTAGCTAGTTATTGCTCCACTCTGGGCATTTCCTTTTGACAGAATTGCTGGGCTTGTTTCAGGTTTGTTTTTTATTTGGTCTTGCTGTAGTTTTTGTTTGGAGTGGTGGTTTTTTGTATTTTTAAAATTAAAGTGTGCACAAATTCATTTTAATGCACAGTTTATTAAATAAGTCAGATTCACTGATTATTTGATTCAATTTACTGATTATTTTTTGCACAATTACTTTATTAAAGAGTCCTGCAATTTACTGATTACATACTTATTCATTTCATTTCTTTACTTTAACTTCCCCTTTTAAAATATTTTACTACACAGAATTCTAGAAGCTGCAAAGACTCTTGGTAATGCTTTTACTATAACCATTGCACCATGGCTGCTTTCCTTTAGAAAGTCATAAATCAAATATACACCCATTTTAATGTATTACATTGTCACATCGGTGCTTACTTTTATTTTTCATGCTCATATCAGTAATTTTCCATTACAAAAACTTTCACACACCCCTCACCCCCAATGCATTAGAATGGTATCTTACTTTAGCTGCTGCCATATATAACTAATAGGAAAAAAAAACAAAATTCTTGTAAAAATGGTCAATTTCCATGTGACTTTACTTTGTTTTATTTTTGCACTATAACTTAAAAATCATTCAAATGAATTGTTTTTTTAATTTGTATTAAAAAAATCTCCCTAGTTATACCCCGTGAAAACAGGGGGTTATAATGGAAGTGCTGACACAACCCTAACTAAAGCAGCGCAAATGTTGCCGCTATAATACACAAAATCAAGTTCTATTATTCTAAACGATCCTCGCTCATGGGATTTTTCTTTACTGTGCTCCCAGCCAAACTGCTGAAGCATGAAAAATTTAAATGCAATCAAATGTGCCCAATTCTACTTTACTAGAACAAGTGTCTACAGTGGTACAATCTTAAAAGGAGATGCAACAGATTTGTTTGGTGTTTTTTTTTTAACTGTTTATTTATAATACAGTGCATTGGAGATAAAATAAAAGAGGAAATTACACTCACATGGTACCAGTGTATTGACTACACAGAGTACATTATAATCAGAGAGAAAAACTACATTGTCAACTTATCACATTGGTTAAACAAGATGGTTTTCTGGGGCATAGCTATTATCAAGTAAAACCTCCAAAGAGAATTACATATCTTTGGGACACATAAAACTAAGTTCTCATCATGTGTTCCCGAGTTTGAAATGTCTCTGCCCAGCAGATCAAGTGAATTCCCAGGATGCCGGGCCATTGGAAAGAACTTCAGGGCTTAGGACTTTTGGGAATGAGAATGTCAGAGATAGTCTCCTGTAATTGATAATGTTTTCTAGGAAGTTAATAGGAGTATCTCTAGAAAGATGATAATTATTTTACTCCAAAACCCCAGTATCAAATCTGAATGTTTAGACCATTAAAACCTACTCAGACAGTAAATTTACTTTATATCTTTTAACAAGAAATCAAGATTAGCTTGTCTAAGACTTTATAAAATGGGGAGGACTAGATATCTACACAGTAAATCTTCTATCTCAGAAAAGCATACTTTCTAGAACGTTAAGCCTTTCTGGTTTTATGCTATTTTTTAAAAACAGTCATTTGTATATGTTTAAAAGTTAGGATTATTTTAAAACAACTTTCTCATAAGGCAGAGCCACTCAAAATTACTTTTTTTTCTTTACTACTGCTTGAAAAGAATCTGTCTCCAAACTATCATCTGGAACTTAACTATAGAAAGGAGCCTTGAATTTATTAGAACAATATTTTTAACCTGATTTTTAAAAATGTTTTCATGACTTCTAAGATTATTACCAAATGGTATTCATTTTTTAGGTGTGTTACATTTATTCAAAAGGAGCCCTGTTTTGAACACAAAACAACATTTTAATAGCTGGTTTACATAAAGAAAATATTAAAAATTCAGACCAACATTCACATTTATTTTTGCAACTCGGCCCCAGGCTACCAAGGTAGACTTATTTCAGTCAGATGATTCACTGTTAATTTAATCCTGCAATTGAGCTGATACTGAGAAATAAACAATTAATTTTCCAAAAATGTAAGTGTCTCT